AGTCAAAATAAACTAGCCATTGTTTGTTTCCAATTAGGTGATTTGAGAAACCAGTGTCCATATACCACTAGTTTACCAAATATGCATCATCAGATTTAGAAGCCATCAATAGCACATGTTCATCATCAGAATCTCCTCTGACTATGTTTTCTTCTTCTAATTTCCTTTTCTTGTTTGACCAATAGTCAACAACAAAGTGGCCAAACTTCTTATAAAGTAGCATTGAACCTTCTTCTTGTCAAACTTTTCATTTCCCTTATGATATTTCTTCTCATTAAAATTTGAGTCTTATAACTTTTGAAAACCCCCCACCATGTCTCTTCTTGGCTTCTGGCCAACACTGCTTTTGACTTTTCTTTCTAGAATAAGCCTGCTCAACCTCTCTTCTAGAGGTTCTCTCAGTCAGACACAACTCTTGTACCTCTAAACTGCTCTGTAGCTCTTCAATTCGCATGGTGCTGAGGTCTTTAGAATGTTCAATTGCTACAACAATGTAATCAAGTTAAGGAGTAAGAGATCTCAGTACCTTTTCAATGATTACTTGTTCTGACAAAAATTTTCCACAAGATTTCATCTCATTGGTGATCAAAATCACTATAGATTTGTAATAAGGTATCTTCTCATTATCCTTCATGTTGAGATTCTCATACTATTTGCATAGAGACTGAAGTTTCACTTTCTTCACTGACGCATCACCGCCATAGAACCGTACTAGTATGTCCTACGCAACCTTGTCGTTGTCGAATCAGCGATCTTCTCAAACATGTTCGCATTCATACACTGATGGATGTAGAATAATGCCTTCTGATCCTTCTTCCTCATATTACGTTGATAATTCCTCTGTGTATCTATTGCATTTTTCGAAAGTACAACCGGAACGTAATCGTCATTGACGATATTAAGAACATTTTGAGCGCCAAACAAAAAACACATATGAATCATCCACTGATTCTAGTTCTTTCGATCGAACACTGGAAGATTAATACTCAAATTACCGTTTCCTTTCCTCTTCAACCTTGTGCAATTTACTCAGATCTCACCAAACACTAGTGTTTCCCAATCCCGCATAATCAAGAAATATGGTTTTGTTTCGATTCCGATAAAAAAATTCAACACGAATTTAAGAAACAAAATCAATCACACAACGCCTTACCGTTCACTCGTGTTTCCCTATGGATATGAATCAGAGCTATATATATCAATTGTTGATGCACGAGGTTGAAGATGAAGATTAAGATGGAAGAAGAGAGAAAATGGATCTAACTATCTTTTGGAGAAAGAAACTTGATTGATTGCATTATGAAATTTTGTTACACGTTTTGTTTATATACACAAACAATAATGCCATGTAGGCAAAAATGCTAACCTACACTATCTAGGCTAAACTTAATAGAACTAATGCTACTACTGAATATGAATTACTTCTAACATCAATCAAAGAACTTGTTCCTAGTGCAGTCACGAAAGCAAATCAAAAAGTTACTAGTTAGGTTTCAGTACTTTTGGATTCATTCTGCATTTTAAGACAACTATTTTTCTTCTGTAATGATTATGTATATTTTGGAGACTTATGGTTATTGTTGGTAATAAACTTGCTCATATGTTTCTTGTCTTGCTAGACGTAAAATCTCAACTCGATGATATGTGGGAATAAATAAATAAAGGAGTGTCTAATAAAATTATTAACAGTTTTACAAGTAAGTCTAAATCTACCTCAAAAAACAATCCAAAGAAGAGATTGCCTGTAATACTTTATTGTTGTTTTGTTTTTTTTCTTGTATAGCTACTCTTATTTTAACAATTATTAGCTTGATATTATTTTCTTTCATGTTTTCTTCAGATGATTTGAGTGGTAAGTTGACAAAAGATTTTTCACTGGAATCCCTCGTGTTGTTCTTGTAGAAGTTGGAATGATATGTACTATATGAAAACAAATTGTTATATTTTTTACACATTATTAACCATTTTTGAAGGTTTTTAACCTGCGAAAACGAAACCCTTCCAATTTAAACAGGATACCTATTTTTTTAATACATATGTTGACTCAGTTTTTTCACCATTTTCTTGTTGTCATACCACATATGTAGAAGTTAACGTTTTTTTATTGCTGAAAAAATTTAACAAAAAGAACCAAATAGGTTAACAAAACAGTTTTTAAGAGACTAATATGTAACATTTATTAGATAAGGAGACTAAAGTAAAATCTAACATTAAGTTAAAAGACTTCATCACTAATTAACTAATATGTAGTTTTCATTGTCAAATGAGTGAAATATAGTTTGACTATGAAAATAAAAACGTGAATTTGGATTACTATAGAAATCTTAAAGGCCCCGTTGGTGGAGCATGTGTTAGAAGACGATCTTGTTTGGCAAGAGGAGCAAAATGGAGTGTATAGTGTCAAGTTTGGGTATAGACTATGGAGGAATGTCCAAGTGAATAATTGTAATAGAAGGATGGATGGGAATTGGGAAAACCTCTGGAATATTATCGTCCCTCCTAGAGCTAAACACTTATTATGGAGGATTTGTAGGGGTTGGGTTGCCTACCATCTCGTTTTAGGCTCCATCATCATTTTGTCCAATGTCCTTCTATCTGCCAGCTTTGCGAGATTGAAGATAAGGATGATTGACATGTGATTTTTGGTTGCACTACTATAATCCAGTGTTAGCAGGCAACAAGTTTGTCATCTATAATTGATTCCCCAATTCATACTTTTACTGATGCTAAGTCCTTTATTCTTAACATTTGTAATAAAGAGGATATGATGGGTGCTGGTAGATTTGTTGTGATGATTGAGGTGCTTTGGAAGAATAAGACTAACGTTGTTTAGAATAATGTTGAGACGAGGTTTCGAGAATTGGATTGCATACATATTTCAATTGGCAAGATTGATTTTCAGTTCATAAAGAAAATGATTTAAATAATACCTCTCATCACCCAACAATTTGGAGCCCTTCTGGAGAAGGGAGATTGAAGTGTAATGTTGACGCAAGATTTAATTGTCAAAGAGGCACAACTAATAGAGGGTGATGTGTAAGAGATAACCTGGGTAGATTCATTATTGCAGGTGTGATTTGGGACGTTGACCTCCTCTCCACCATTGTAGCTAAAGCCATGACTTTGAAAGAGGTTTTACAAAGTGTTATATCGGTTGAGTTGAATAATGTGACTTTCGAGAGTGATTCCCAACTGGTTGTTGGGCTATTCACTCTGAGGCGACCAATGTTTGGTCTAGACGTAATATTATTAATATAATAATACCTCCTTATATAAAATATTTGTTAAAAGAATAAAAGTCATTAAGTTTGTTCAGGAAAAAAAAATACTACAATAAGTATAGTGTTATTATATGTTTAACTTATAATTAATTATTTGTTGGATTTTTTAACCTTCAAAAATCAAACATTAAATATATATATATATATATATATATATATATATATATATATATATATATATATATATATATATATATATATATATATATATATATATATATATATATATATATATATATATATATATATATATATATATATATATATATATTCAGATTTTTTATCATTACCTTAATGCCATGGTACGTATGCAAAAATTAATATAATTTTCTTTTACAAAATTTAATGAAATGTACCAACTAAACTGATAGGACAGTTTATAAAAGACTAATATATAATGTTTAATAGATAAAGAATTAAAGTAAAATTTAAAATTAAATTAAAATATTTCATCATTAAGGTAAATAAAAAATATCTCTCGACATGTTTATGTGGAGTTTTTATTGTCAAATGAGTGAAGTATAGTTTGCCTATGAAAATAAAAACGTTTCACTCATTAATGGACCATATTTAGTCGGTCATCATTAATATATTCTCTCTCCCTTCGTCTAGAATTTTTTTTATCATAGTTAATTATTTTACATTAATTAAAAAAATAATAAATAAAAAGAGAATAATATTTTTATAAAATTATTATTGTTTATTATTAATATATTCGAATCATCATAAATATAAAATGAAAGAATAATAAATCAAAAATATTAATTAAATTAAAAGATAAATTTTAGAATTGTATTAAAAATTAAAATACAACATTTATTTTCTAACGAATAATTTTATAAGATTCAACAATTATTTTGGAAAAGGAATATAATATACCTTTTGTAGTTTAACAAAATATTATTTTTTAAATATTAATAAAATATTTATTATGATATTTAATATTTATTTATTTATTTATAAATAATAATAATATATTAAATAATATGAATTTTAATATTATAATTAATATATTTAATTACTTTTAAAAATTAAAAACAATTTAAATAAAACATTTTTGATAAGATTGATGAAGTATAATTCTCGGTAAACATGTTGAACTAAAACATACACCATAATGACTTATTTTAGGCACATTTAATGTTAATATTCTAATCACATCTTTACATTAATTCGATAATATTGTTGGGAGATAACCAATATTAATGGGGTAGGCCAACAATATAATTTTTATATAAAATTAAACAATGTAAATGCATCTGAACATCATTTTGTAAATGTATAAAAATAGTTATTTATTATTTTGCATATGAATGCAAATATAGTTCGGAGGAATATACCAAAACCCATAAAAAGCATCACAACACACACAACATTTTTTAATGAACACTCTAAAAATATAGAAAATGATTTACTATTTAAAAAATATTTTGAAATTAATAATAGATTGGATACTGTTTTTTTATTGAAATATATTGGATTAATTATGTGAGTATTATAGAACAGAGAGAGTATTCTATTAATTTTTTTACTCGTTGTAAAATGAATGAAGTATTATATTGATTTATTTTTATTAATAACACTCTGGTTAATTATTTTTTGTAAAAAAGTTGATAACAATATTAGCATCACAGAATAATTTAAAAAATATATTTTATTATTATTTTAATATACATGGTAAAATTATAACATCAGTAAATAACTTAACCTTAAACAAAATTAGTATGACTCCCATGGGAAAGGCTCATCCAGCCTAAAGCCCGAGCTTGCATGTTCAGCTCCAGCCGCGAGCCATGGCTCAGACATAGAAGAGTAATGAAGCTCATTTGAATTTTTATTTGAATCGAGTAACAAATCAGGGAGGTCATAAAACATGTCATCTTCCTCAGTTAAAAATCCTTTTATGTCTTGGGCCTGGGCCTGGGCTTCATGAAGATAGCTCATAGAAGCTGCTTTAGCGGCGGCGGCCTGAATATCCTTGGGAGAATTAGTAGCCGGACGTGGAAGTTGGTCAGCTAATTCAGGGAAGTTAAGGTAAGCCGAACTACCTTTGATGGCTTGGGCCGCAACGTCGTGGGCTCGGGCCGCCATTTCTGGTGTGGGAAAAGTACCGAGCCAGATTCTGGATTTTTTCTTGGGCTCTCGAATTTCCGAAACCCATTTACCCCAATGACGCATTCGAACTCCACGATATAATGGGTGTTTTCCATCACCTTTGGCTTTGGTTTTGTTGTTATCTTCAATGGAAGAAGAAATGGAAGCGGTGAGTTGAATTTCGTTTTCTAAAGGGACATGAACTTGTTCCATGTTTTTCGGAGATGACAAGAGGAGGTGGGGAGATATAGTGTGGAGTGAAGTGAATGATAAATGTGGTGGGTACTATAGAGCTTCAAATAGTTTTGGTTTTAGCTATGATATGGTTTTTGTGTGATTGTGATTGTAAACAACTTGGAATTTTACACGTATGTATATGTATATAATATATAATAAAAGGGAATGAGACCTATTCAATATAAGGGAAATGTTTGATCATACTATTTATGTCACAAAATTAATTGCTATAATACAAACATTTAAAAAAAGATGGTATAAAATGTTACTTTATATATCCTATCAAGGCTCATTCTCCACAATTTGGATAAAAAACAGTTTTTTATTTTATTTTATTTTTATTTTTTTATACTGGTATATTAATTATTTTGGACTGGGTCAAGACATTCCTCTCAGTCGGACAGGTCCACCCCAGTACTACGTTGAAAAGACTCAATAAGACTCAATCCTTCCATGTCGGACACGTGTCTCGACAAGACCCTTTAGTCAAGCAGACCACTACCTAGAACTGAGAGAACTCACGACGTCTCCCCATGTTCTTCACACATCCCCCACGCGGGAACGCGTTATCAGACGACTACCCATTTCTGAAAGAGTTGGTCAGCCCACCTTTCAAAGATTACGGGACAGTTGATCCAAGGCGAAGACTGTGTGCTGGTCTTCCCTACAGTTACTTGTGTTGGGCTTGACAATTTGCCCCCAACGCAATGTAACAGTTGGCCATGCGCTGGTGACACATTATAAATATCCTCTTTCACTAGAGGGTCAGATATTCTATTCTCTACACCTATTGTCTCTGTACTTGCGCTTTCTAACTCCGTTACTCACTTAAGTATCGGAGTACCTTGCAAGTACACACCCTTATCCTCTACAATATTGGTGAACACAAGAGCTCACGACGCGTGGCAGACTGCTGATTCTTTTCTGGTCAAGTGAGATCACTAATTATCTTAGATTATATATTAAATTGAATAATTATTATTTATATATTTATTTTTAATTTATAATTTATAAAATATAATTTTGAGACCCTTATTTTTTTTGGAAACTCTGAAATGTAGATTTGATTGCCCTACCCCAAGGCCAAACATGTCTCCTATAATAATTAATTTATTTTATTATTTCATATATAAAGAAAAACATACCCAAAAAAAGAGAATATTATGTTTGTAGATTGTGGACGGATATAGGTAGGTTTATATGTTTGTAAGTTTTGTCGACTATGATATAAATTGAATTCCCTCGACAAAAAAAACTTCTCTTCACGTTGCAATTTGTCATTCTAACCAATATGGTTGTTGGGCCGTCTTGACGTTTTTCTATTCCATTGTAATTCGCTTACGAGAATTTGATTTCTAGGAAGACATTTGCAATTTATGTCACAGTGCATATTGACTTTGCATATCATTGATATAATTTTCTAGTAATGGTAGAAGTTCCTCTTTAAGAGAATCCTCATAATATAAGGTCTATCTCTCTAATATGAGGCTTTGACTTCCTACCTCTTTTATCATCTCTATTGCATATTCTTTCAGGACTCTTTGACTTTCTTCGAGGTTGGGGAGATATATAACATTTTCTCTGAGATCAAGAAAATAAATTTTCTCGTATCAACTTCTCAAATTCAGATTATTAATCATTGGTAGTCCTTTGTAGAGTGTAATATTGTGATTGCATGTCTCTTATATCTAGGTTTAGGTCATATGGTACAATTTTGAGTGAAGTCTCTAGTTACAAAGGTATTTTTTTTTGTTAATAAAATATTTTGCCATGTCATATTAGTGAGTTCTTTTTGAAAATTCCATTGTGTCAGACCTTCATGTCATCAAATTCGTACATTTTGCTTAGGTGGTGGCGCGCTTATTGGATATTTTTAAATTTTTTTAATGCCACATGTGTTTTTTATATGTTATTTAGTAGTGTTATTGATAGGTCATTACTCGTGTATTTTTATAAACTTAAATTAATCAACTGTATTTCATATCTCATGTCACCTTCTTCCTTTAGTTTAATCAAAATCTTCAAAATTTATTCTTCCTTTATGTTTTTATCTTTCTTTGTTTCCCCTTACAAATATTGTCCATACTCACCCTTTTTTTTGAAGTTAGGGTTTCCAATTGGGTGGAAGCAAAACATCATCAATTGGAAATTCAAGTGGAAGAAATCTATCAAAATGAATTTGTGATTAGGTTATGAAGATTTGGATTTCAAATACACTTGAAAATCCAAAGAATAGAACTTGGAGATGTAAAAAAATATAGATTGATCAATATTATGTAATTTTTTATTTATAATTTCATTTCCTTCCTCACTGTAGTATTGTTATACTTAATTGTAGATTGTGAGTAGTTCTGACCTTTTTATTTGGGATGATGACCTTGGTAAATCTCAAATTGAAAAGTGCTAACAAGTTCAAATTTTGATTGCTAAAACTACTAGGTTATAATGGCTCATTTGAGAGAACATTAAAAGGACGTTGGGAATAAATTGGAAACAGAAAATTATAAATAATCAAACTCAAAGAATCGTGAGAAAAAAACAAAGAAGAAGTTTCAATTTGAAAAGAACAAAAGTTATGCGCTAATGGTTGCACTCATTATTTCTAGGACTTTTTTCCTGGTTTTTTTTACAAGTTGATATTTAATAAGCAGTAGGTTATGAAATTTGATTTCAATGTAAAATGGATTATGTATCGATGTGAATTTGGTATTATTAATTATTGAAATTGTATTTGGTATTTTCATATCATATCGTTATGTCCTTGATGTTGTTATATTTTTGTCTGAAATTGGTTTTGACTAACCAATGTTGTTATCTCTTTAACTTTGGGGAAAAAATACACATATTAATTCATAATAATTAGGTCACACGAGGGAAAACAAAATTCGTTCAAATGCAGAAGCAAACCAGTCATTTAAAAGAGCACTAAAGTCAGTGTTTTAAAAATCGGTCCGAACCAGTCGGTCGGACCTGTCGAATCGAGAATCGGAGGGGCTACCAGTCTGGTCTGATTGTTGAATCAGATATGCTATTGAACCAGTGAGAACCGGTCAAAACCGGTCAAAATCGCTAAAGCGGTGAACTGGCGGTTTAAATGCATGTCTTTTTTTCTTCATAATAACGACGTCGTTTTGATAATTTATCTTTTAAAAATAAAATTAAAATATAAGTAGACTTTATTCAAAACTTATTTTGAACAATTTTTCTTCGTTTGTAATCAGACATTGTTCAAAATTTATTTGGATTTGTATTTTATACTATTTTGTCATGCGTGATGTCTATGTCAAGAGTTTAAATTTAAATAATAAACTTGTGAAATTATGATATTTTGAAATTGTATAGGTGTCATGATATTTTTTAAAGACCAAGTCATCCGGTTCGACCAATTTATTAAATATATAGTTTTTTTATAGAGACCGGCTTATTCAGCTGAGTTACCCGGTTTAATCTGGTTTAGTAATGTGATTCGACTAGTGACCCAGTGGTTCGACCAATAAATCAGCGACCCAGTACCTTCACCAGTTTGATGACCGGTCCGATTTTTAAAATATTAACTAAAGTACATAACTAATTAGATGTCATAACTCAAACATTACACACATAAAAAAATCATGTCATGTGCATAAGCCGTAGAACATAAAGTGGGCAAAAAAAGAGCATAAATGGCATAAGTCATTACACATGTAATACTTTAAAGTGCATTACATAAAATTGGTCATTACATATAAAAAAATATGATAAAAACTCATCGAAAAAACCATCTAGATTTTTCATTCCAATATCTCATAGATCTTATACATGTTCCAAGATTTGGATCAGGTACCATAGTACTAAGTTCTTGTGTCAAACTTCCTTCTTCAAACTTAGGTACCATCATTGGCTGGTCAACACTATCACTTGATCCTTTAATTGATATAGTCTTTATGCTCCTTAAACTTTCACTACTCATATTATTTCTCCTAGATATTATTATTTTTTTGCTTTGGACTCTTCTTCAATAGTAACAACTTATTGGCACTTGGTTGAGCATTTGGTGTCTGGACACCTGAATTTCTTCCAAATACAATGTCAAATACATTTTCTGGAAATGATGAAAACACTTAATCAAGTAAACCATTAAACAAATTAGCAAATTTCTCATTTTAGACAGTATCAACAAATGCATAACTCTTTAATTCATGTTGGTCTCATGCATATGCTAGAGTTTTTTTATAGTTTTTTGTTTCTTCAATCTCTTTACTTTAGGTGAGACAATTTCATTTGGTTTGAACACTTGCCACAATCTTGAAAATTGTTCGTTTTTTCATTTTTTTTCACTTTATGCGGGAAAACTTCATTTGATTCAATATTTGTATTTAGTCCAACATGTTTGACAGGTGAAACATGTACATTACATGTATTTGGTCCAACACTTGAATCGATTTTGTCATTTTGATTCAGTTTAGTTGGTTCACCACTTTCCTCGCTGTTTGGTTTGTTTCTGGAATATTTTCTCTACAACAAATGCTAAAGTATTTAATATATTTATAATATTTAATAAGAAGATAATATTATACTATCAAACATAACTAAAGCTTACATTTCTTTTCAAAACATTTATGTTTTGAATAGTTACACATCTAGTACATTTGTACATGATTGACTTCAAATACAAGAAAATGGGTTCAATTACGATCAAAATATTTTTCAAAATTTTAAACAAAATAACATAACTTTTAAGTTGATTTTAAGAAAATAGTGAAAGAAGAAGAGAAAAGAAAAAAATATAAAGGCAATAATATAAAAGACAATGGATAAGGAAGAATAACATAAGATATATCTTGATTCAAACCAAAACCACGAGGTCTACATCTAGTCCTCAAGAATCACACATTGAGATTTTCCATTATCACATACCTTTTAACACATGATTAGCCAACAACTTATTACACCAAAATATAGATTTGAACAATTCAATTGCAGTTATATTAGATTTT